TCTTCAATCTTTCTTTAAGTAAGAATCTCAAAGAAATTCAAGTCTAGTTGGATCCATCCAAGGTAAGATTATCAAACTTCATCCTTCTAGCTTCATTTTGAGCTCCCTTTCACTAGTTTTTATCCATTGAACAAAAAATAGGTCTTGGGAGATTTGTGGGAATCTATGGATTCTAGTTAAGTTTTGAGTTATAGGGAGTTTGTTTAGATGTTATTCAACCCCTAGATGTATTGGTAATCCATTTTATCATTTTCTTAAGTGAAGGAGATAGGAGAAAGCTCAAGACCTAAAGGAAAAGAAAGATTAAATCTTTAGTGAATTGAGAAAGTTTCTAGCCATCCAAGAAGCAAGGTAACACTTTTACAACTCTTTCATACTCTTAATGAGTCATTAAAAGTTCAAAATAGTTTAAATTGTTGAGTTGAGCATGATAAGCTTTTTTATGGTGAAATTCTTGTTTTAGAGTTATAAATGTGTTTAAAGTCTCTATTATGACCCTTGTTGATCAAATAAAACTTTAAGAATGTTTGGGGACCTCACTAAGGTCTTTGAGATTGAATTATAGCATTTTAGTATATGTTATATGATTTCTGTAGGTAAAGTATCAATATTATTGGGATAATATCGATACTAGTTCTTCGTTTTGGGGAAATTCGTGAGTTTTTGGGTAAAAGTATCGATACTCATTCAATAGTATCGAAACTTTGAGTCATAGTTTCTAAACTCCCATAAAGCAGAATGTTTAAAAGTATCGATATTTATATAAAGTATAGAAACTTTTGCAATAGTATCGATATTCTTGGGTTAGTACCGATATTTTCAGTCTATTTTAGGCAAAAATGTCAGTTTTTAAGGGAATTAGACTCGAGGTAGCCCAACACTTCTTTTTATCATCAAATAAGACTGCAAGTGGGAATATTAATGATATTAATTACACTTAGAAACAAGATTTATTAGGATGACATAAAAATAGTCTTGGATGATGCTCGGGAAATGACCAAGACACCTGAGTTCCTTTAGAAAATGTTAGCATTATAGAAAGTATAGATTCAGTCCGGATATATCCTTAGGTAGGGCTGAGGCCCTTCTAACTAACTATGTTTGTCGAGGCTTTAACACTCTTTAGAAGAAATGGTAGGTTAGTTAGGGGTATGGTTTCCGATGTAGAGAATTTCGGGAGCCATATCTAGGGTAGACTAGAAGGGTATGTGAGCTCTGAGATGCAAAACCCTCAGTCGCACCATGATGTCTATCAATTGCGTATAGAGTGAGTATTCGATAATACTCACTAAAGCAATTTTAAAGCAGATTAACTTGGGCGCAAGGTACAACACTCAAGGAGTTGACCAACAGAACAGAACATATTGTAGTAGACTTGATAGCTTGAGTATGTCATGAACACTTTTAGTATGACTCAGTTGTTAGTGTGGCACTGACTAGTTAGCTCATCATTTGGAATTTGTTTCCTTACGCAGGTTAGTCGAGGAGCAGTCCGAGGACTTTTTGACTATAGTGATCCAGACCCAGTAGTGCAGAGTACGTCTCGAGTTCATCTTTAGAGAGCATGTATATTTGTAAACCCTAATTTGTATATTTTTGTATGAATCGTAACTTATTTTAAACTATGGTCTGTATGATTTAAACATTATTTTGGGTGCTCCTATGTAAACTATTTTATTTAAATCGTAGTTGATTATTTTAGCATGAGTAGTTACAAATGGTCATTTTAAAAGAAAAACAAATTGAGTAGTCACTCCGATGATTCCGTGTGACATTCTAATTGATCGATCGTGTGTCGTATTGGTTTAGGATGTTACATAAAACTTCAACCACACCCGATCACTATTCCTTTGCAATGTATTTTTGGTATGGTCAAAGTATTATCAACAATGGGTTAAGCAGAATATGTGTATGATCAACTAAAAACGCCCTTTTTATCACATTTCATAGGAATGGTCCAATCAATCCGCAAACAAAAAAAAATCCCAGATTTTAATGCATGACAGATCCATGTTTAAATGCCCTAACCATATTATACGATAATAATTCCTGATATCTACCCCTCGTCAGAGCCATCTTTATTTGTGTGTACACATGGACAGCTAAGCCCTCACCAATAATTAAATTCTATATATTTCCGCAGAAGCTAATGGAAATCAAGAGCACATGAAATGTAATCGATCTTATAGGCTAAATCAAGGAATTGAAACAACAATTTGATCAATCATTACAGAACCTTGAGAAAAAAAATCGTGGGTTGTAATCAGTGAGCAGTATTGAATTCCAGCATATAATTATTTTTCTTTAATGGAGTTATTGTTTCTTGTTTGAAAGTGATGAATGTGTAAGCAATATTATTCTAGCCTTTTTTGAGGCCGAGAAACACATTGTTGATTGTACCTACCAATGGCAGCTCTTAGTGGGCAGTTTTTTTTTTTTTGGGTTGTGATGCAATGTACTCAGTCTTTCCTTTAAGATACCCAAGTATTACATTTTGTGTGCTAACTGCTAAGCTCTAAGCCTCTAACTTAAATAATTTAATGTGTAAAAATAATGCATTTTGTATGGCTTAAGAAGTTAAAGAATTAGAGGAGAATATTAAGTAAAAAAAAAAGATTGGGATGTATTGATAAGAAAACGAATTGTTTGGGAATAAATTTAAAATTTAATATCAATTAAAATTAAAAGATTTTATTAATGTGTTAATTTAATTTAAAATTTCACATCCTATATGTAAAATCCGAATTATAAAAAATTGAATTATTTTTTTGTTGTCTTCTCGGTTCTAAGGTTTTAGTTTGATTAATTTTGATCGATTTATGTCGTACATCTAATTTTATTAGGTAAGTCTCTCAACAAAAATTTTGTATGTATATAAAAATTCAAACTTAAAACCTTACTTAAACGATATCATACTATTAATTCTTTTGATGAATTATTTTTCTTTAATCGTGGAGATAATGGAAAAAAATAGGATTAGGATTTAGGAGTTTAGGACTGCGGTCAAAGACGGAATGATTACAGTTAACCTCCGTCAACCCCAACGACAAAACGCCATTATGTTTGGCCAACCACAGCATATGGTGACGTGGTAATATCTTATCCGATCGTATTTTCCAGATGTTATAGACCATCGGATCATGGTGCACGCGCGCTAATGGCCTGTTTCTTTGGGGTTTACACAATTATTACCAACAGATATCGGCGTGGTAAGAAAAGATTCACCCCCGACGTAGGGTTGTTCATTCGGTTAAAATCGAATTAAATCAAATCGAATTAACTATAATTGAATTAATTAAAAAAAAATTCTTTAACTGTTAATCAAACCGAACTTTTTTTCAAATATATTAATCGAACCGAATAAATTTCAGTTAATTCGATTAATTTTCGAATTAACCGAATTTTTTTAAAAATTTTCTAATTTATATAAAAATTAAATGTTTTTTAATTAAAAAAAGTTTATAATTAATTTAAATAATATATAATTATAAAATAAAAATTTCAGATAAATTTTTTAATTAATTAATATTGATTTAAGTTTAAAAGTTATTAGATCTTAAATTATTAATTGGGTTTTAAATGGTTTGGCTTAACCCATATGTTATATATATATATATTTTTAATTAAAAAACAGTTTACAATTAATTTTAATAATATATAATTATAAATAAAAAATTTTATATACTTTTTTAATTAATTAATATTGATTTAAGTTTAAAAGTTATTAGATCTTAAATTATTAATTGGGTTTTAAATGGTTTGGGCTGAGCCCATATGTTATATATAATATATTTAAAATTTAAAATTTAATTTCGGTTAATTCAGTTAATTAATCGAATTCGAACCGAATTAACCGTTAACTGAATTTTAAAAATTTTCTTAACCATTAATCGACCGAACTAATTCGATAATCGAATCGAATTAATCGAATTAATTCGATTTGGTCGATTAACCGAATTAATTCGATTATTTAAACACCCCTACCCCGACAACTTGGACTGCAACTCTCAGTAAAAACAATCATTAAACTCAAACGAGGCGTCTCCAACAAAAGATAAATTATTATTACTATCCCTTTCTATCTCCATTAGCTGGGTAAAAAACATAAGCTTTTACTCTCGTGATTGTGTTTCTCACACATGAATTAAATGGTCAAGTTTTGTAGTACAAAGAACTTTCACCTGGTATTTCTTTTAGTTAGTAGTTAAATGTTTTCAGCAAAATAATATTATTTCACGTAATAATATTAACTAAACGGTCCATAAGATCTCCAATTGATTGTTACGTGACAACTTTCCACATCTAATGAGAGTTTTGGTTTTATGATAGTCACGCATGCAGTGCTCTGAAAAATTAATGCAACTAATATTACTTTGTTGATAAGATTGTCAATTCTTCCTTTTATTTAATCATTTGATTAATTACTTAACTGCAGTCGTTGGTGTTTGAACATATACCTTCTAAGAACAACAACAATTCTTTTATCTACTGAAGTAAATTGATTCATACATTTATGTTCCTTTTTAAATTTTCAAATTCGACTATGTCTTTTGCAAATAATATAACTGTTGAATGCAAGCTATTTCTGAGCAATATGATTTTAAGTTGGTTAGAAGTACTATATTTTTATTTATTTCACATATAACTATTGAAATTGGGTAAATGTATGGGAACAATAACCATTTAATATTTATTTAGGTAGATGTATTTAAAAATATTTTAAAGAAATTATTATAAAAATAATATAAATAAATGAGATGAACAATGTAATATCAATATCATATAAATATACAAATATTAGACAATCTATATAAATCTAAAATATTTTTAAATATAACTAATTATTATTTTCTTCAAATTCGATTATGAGAAAGTAAAATACACGAAAGAATAATATTAAGAAATTGCCGGGCAACGGGGCAATAATAGTAGGCAATTAAGCAGCTACAGAAAGGCCAAAGAAGCTTCTTTTTTAAGCTTCTTCAAAAACCAGCCCTTCCCCTACAGCCTAACCAGACTGCACACTCTCTGTCTCTACTCACATTAGCTTTCGTGTTCTTCATTTTGCTTGTTGTATGTATTTCAAGAACAATAGTTCATAAGAATTTGATACTTGATGTCAACACCTTTGGAACATGATTACATAGGCTTAGCAGAGACCTCTTCAATGGAAAGAAGCTCTGAGAAGATCTCTTCTTCTTTTTCTTCATCATCCTCTTCAATTCCCCCCATCATCGAAGACAAAACCAGCAAAACCACTAATGACACTTTTTTGAATCTCAAAGAAACCGAGCTGAGACTCGGCTTACCGGGTTTTCAGTCTCCTGAGAGAAAAATCTCTCTTTTTGTCAAAGACTTGGAGACAAATGATAAAAGGAACGGTTTTCCCAGTAGCCCTTTGAAGAACTTTGTGTCTGGAGCTAAGAGGGGTTTCTCAGATGCCATCGATGCGTCTAATGGGAAGTGGGTTTTCTCTATGAAAGGTAAATCTGATGTTGAGTTGGCCAAAGGGGCTGTCTTGGCCTCTCCTAGAGGCGGTTTGGATAGCAAAACCAATTCCCAGCAAGCAAGACCATCTGTGTGTATCATGAAAGAGGTTGTCCGTGTTCTCCAGTCTCCAAAACCAGTTCAAGATAAGCAGAAACTTGTTCCTCCTGCAAATGAGCATGCTAGTGCTCCTGCTGCAAAGTATGTTTCTCTTTGTTTTTGTTGGGAATAAATTTTACATTGATTATTGAGGCAGAAGTTTTTTTTTCTCTGTAACAGGGCACAGGTGGTAGGATGGCCACCAATTAGATCATTCAGGAAGAACAGCATGGCCTCTAATTTGGCAAAGAACAGTGATGAAGGCGCTGGTTGCCTCTATGTAAAGGTGAGCATGGATGGAGCACCATACCTGAGGAAGGTTGACCTCGACACCTACAATAACTATATGGAGTTCTCATCAGCTTTGGAGAAGATGTTCAGCTGTTTCACTATTGGTAAGATGCAGTCTAATCTTATTATCTGATATCTGTTCTATGCCTAAGCTTAGTGAGTTTTGAAGAGCTTAGCCTTCAACAAAAAAAAGAAAATTCTTTGTTGAGGATGGGCTAACTTGTTTCGAAACATTTTAGCATACTATGACTTTTAGATCAAGTGTTGTTTCGAAACATTTTAGCATACTATGACTTTTAGATCAAGTGTATGTTGATTCATGTTTATAGACGGGTTTGTTTCAGGGAAATACAATTCCAACGAGCTTCCTGCGCGAGATGGTCTTAGCGAGAGTCGTTTGATGGATCTTCTTCACGGATCCGAGTACGTGCTGACATACCGAGACAAAGACGGTGACTGGATGCTCGTCGGCGATGTTCCATGGGAGTAAGTCCTCCACCTACATAAGCACTTTCTGTTTCATTTGTTCATGTAATTTGACATTGCAATGTACCAATGCGGTTAAAATACAGCCATATTGGCCCAAGTTCATAGTGTCTGAATTCTTGCAATCAGTTATTCTTATATGGTAATTCTTTATGATGATGGATTGCTTTACATTGTTATATTTTTCATACAGGATGTTCACCGATTCGTGTAGGAGACTGCGGATAATGAAAGGTTCAGAGGCAACTGGACTAGGTATTGGTATTCCTTACTAAAACAAAAAAACATCACAGTTTAGTATTCCAGAAAATTAGTTTGCTTAAGATTTATTATGTCGTTTGATATTGAGAGAGTTTATGTTGATTGCTTCAAGCTCCAAGGGCCATGGAGAAATGAAAGAACCAGAACTGATTCAGAGGCATCTTGAAGACCTGGAAGAAAAACAAGTCATAAAAGCTCCATGCAACTTTACTCGAGAACTATATATATGTGTATATACATATATATATTTTACAAGTTTGATTTAAGTGGAGAAAGGGGCTTTGTAATAGACAAATTATGGGATTGAAGACATATCCAATTATTCAAGGATCTGTGGCTCACCTCTTCTTTTGTTTTATCTCAATTTTGTGTTAATGGATTGATCTGTTTGTTTCTTTAATTGAAAGAAGAGCACGCCTGCCTCGGTCTCCATTCCTGCAGTCCTAAGGTGTAATCAGTGGGAGAAAGGAATGGAAAAGGCATTGATTAGTTGTAATGCTTGGGTGATAGGTGTGGGAATTCTATAAGAGGTGTTTTTGTTCGAGACCCCCCCCCCCCCCACTTCATCTCAAATCCCATCACCTTTTGCATTGTGATTAGAACAAGCAACCAAGCGTCTGCTTGAGAGAAAATGTAAATTACATTATATCTTAAACACAAATTTATACAGTATGTCAGCACTATATCAAATTAATTATAAATAATTATTTTTATTAATTTAAGTATAATTACGGAATTACCTTAAATTAATCGACCATGAATCAAATATCGTTAGTTATATTGAAAAAATTTCAATATTATTTGCATAAACTGAATTTACTGCCATTCCATCTGGTTTTGAATCTTCATCTGCTGTCAAATTAATGACGACGTGATTATTTTTTCAATTCGAGAAAAGAAATTGTTCTAAACATGTGTTTTCTTCCATCTAAGCAAAATACTGTATTAAAAAAATCGATCTTTTCAAACAGACTTGAAGTAATTTTGCATTGTAGTTTCATACACTTACTCAAAAAATTTTGAATTCAGATCGAGTTATAAAATAGAACTCAAATAGTAACTTGAATAACTCAAAAATTTTAGTAAGCAATGAATTCATTTTTAAGTTTGAGTCGAATCTCTCGACTCTGTATGATATATGTATATCACATATGAAAAAAATAAGAAGAAATATATATGTATTGTATATGATTATAGAAAAACACTTAAATTTGAATCAAATAATATCATAATATTATAAAAAAAAATACAATTAAATTCAAATAAAAACTCGAACAATTTGAATTGACTTGACTCGATTTGAAAAAAATTCAAATCAAGTTTGAGTTATAGAATAAGACTCGTCAACTCAAAAAATTCAAAATTTTTTGATTTGATTGATCGAACGCTCACCCCTATTTTTACTTTTGGCTTATTATATTGCTTTTAAATAATAATTAGTTTATTGAAAAAATAGAGAGTAATCACACTAAAAGTTTACAAACTCAAAAATTTTTTAATATAAAATTTGAAATAAATTAACCATATTAACTATTCATTTCCTTTCAAATCATTGAATAAAAAATATTAATCGTTTTTTAAATCATAAAAATATTAGTTGCTAGAAAATGACAATAGATTTATATAAGCAAAAATTTAAAAATTTAACTAAATAACTTTAAAAAATAAAAAATATAAACAAACACATTTATTAAAAATACAAATATAAACAAACACAGCTATTACAAATAGAAAAAAAAAACAACAAAGATCATAAACACCAATTAAATGATTAAATATAATAACACTTTACAGTAAATCTTACTTCAAGTGATTAATATTGAAATTTGTGTTGAAAAATATAAAAGATTGGCTTAAGTTATTATTTTTCCATCTAAATCTAGAGTTTTTCATTCTGTCTCTAACCTATCATTTTTGTTTTAGTAAGAGTAAGTGAGCTTTGACAGCAAAAAGAAAAAAAAGACACATGTATCGTAGTAACAAAAAAAAGCATATAATAAGGATATAAATTAATTTTGTTAACATTATAAATTTATGGTTAATTAAGGTTTAACTCAATTACTATTTTAATATACAAAAACCGTGGGTTTATAGCCATAAGTAAATACATTCAAAAGATAATTCTTTTTAAATAATAGAGAGTGATTATAAGTTTATATTTGTTTAAAATTTTATTAATCTATTGACAACGTACGTATTCGACAGACGCAATTGGTTGAACTAAGATCTCTATATAGAACAAATTTTAATTTTACTACTGAGTCCACTCGATAAGTTCTTGAAAGTCAAAATTAAACATTATAATGGTAGAGCATATATATATATATATATATTAAAATAATATTCATAATGTGTAGCATCATCATAGTTTGCATTTTCTTAATTATCTTCTGAAGACTGAATAAACTTCATAGGGGGTTTGAAAAGGGAAATTTCCATGAGTAGTGAATTCATTACAACGGGTGACGGTGGCATGACATAACAATGGGCAATAGCAATGGTAGACCACTCATGTGGTGAAGCTGAGCCTAACTCAATCAAGTCTGAACTTAGGGCCACCCCCACTTAGAGGTGGGTATATGGCCTAAGGCCCGCGGGCTACCCGTTTAATCAGCGGCCCGTGCGTGTTTTGGACATAAAAAATTAAAGTTCGTTTAAATTGCGGATTTTTTAGCCCGGACCGTTAAACCCGCGGGTTTAATGGGTATAACCGTGGGTAGCCCTCGAAGCCCGCTTAATTTAAAATTTATAAAATTTTAGAGAAAATAAACTTAAAGAATTTTATAGAAAAAGAAAATAAATTACCTATAATTATGATGTTACTTACAACCATTGTAGTTCTTAAATTTATTAAGGTGGTTGTCATAATTCTACTGCTGTTTGATATTTTTTTTCATTTAAATATACATCATTAATGTATCAAATTATTCTTCATTTTAAAAAATAAAAGTTAAAAGATTTATATAGTATTTTAGTCTTATAAAATTTATATCATTATCACTTTGGTATTTAATTTTTTTTATTTAATTTTGACATTTATTTTTTTCATAAAGTATGATATTCATTTCGTTCTTTAATTTAAAAGTCACGTGATATTCTAATAATATCACATGACATGTAATATTTAGATTAAAATAAGAAAAAATAAAAGAAAAAATTAAAACATACTTTTCACTTTTAAAGACTTTTAAAGCTTTTAAAAATAATATATTTAATAACTTAATGACTTATTTTATCAATTTATATAACCGTATCTTTCAAATTTACTCTTATACTGTAAGTATTTTATTTTATATTTTCATATTATGTTTTAGTCTTTCTCTAAAGTATTCATAAAATACAATTATTATGATCACTTGACAACTTTCTTGTTAGATTTGTATAATGTTTGATTTTGTTGAATTTTTATATTTGAATTTCTGCTTGCAGACACTTCTGTGTCTTCATATTATAACCTTGAATCGTGTTTATAAAAGTATAATGTGGTTATTGTTTATTGTTTTGAATTTGGTGATATAAGTGAATATTGGTTTTTAAGTTTAAGTAATTAATTATTATATATATATTAATGATTAAAAATTAAAAAAATATTATTTTATAATCATTTCTGACTATTTAAAATAAATTTAAATTTTTATTATGACGGTGTTACCTTCCTTTTCAAGTTGTTGGATCATTTTTAAAGGTGTAGCAAGTTAGAACATTATTTTTTATTGCATTTAAAGTATTTAAAATTGTTGTTACTTAACGGGCTGCGGGTAAGCCCGTTTAGCCCGCGAGTTAAATGGATGGGCCGCGGGCCTTAAAATTCAAAACCGTTTATGAATGTGAACTTTTTAAACCGTCCCGTTTAAACCCATACTGTCAAAACCTGCGGTCTAAATGGGCGGTAGCCCGTATACCCACCTCTACCCCCACTGCCACCGCCCACCTATGGGTGCACTTCCGGCCACGTAATCCTAACGTTGTTTCTTGCATCACCACCAGCACTTACTATATTATATTATATATATACTATGAGCATGTGATTATAGCTCATCAATCAAATAACCTCAGTTTTTGTGGCGTATGTAAAATCCGTCTCTTTTCTATGCAGACTATAGTTTAGTTGTCAGTTTTTTTTGTTATCTATAACTAAATTAGACAGTTGGCTATGAGACTGAGGGTGTTTTTACATCAGGGGTGTTTTTGAATACGGTGCTTCTGCCTTTGTTTTAACGTTTGTCTGTGAGGTGCTAGATGAGGTTTTATTATGTTGTAGTTCAGTTGACGTATTGCTGGGTGTTGGCTTTCTCGCGTTGGGGATTGTTTTGTGTGATCATTTCTCTTTCGATCGGATGCGTGGGTGGGGCATTTTTGGCTATGATTCTGCAATTTGTGATGCTGGTCAGTTTAGCTGTAAGCGATGGTGTTCTAAGGCTCAAATTTTGGCCAATCTGGTTGTGTGGACGTTGCATTGGTGTCCGGCTATTGCTGTAGGGGTTGTCTTTGTGTATTGTACATTTGTTATTTTTTTCCCATGGTAGGTTGTTTTTTTAAAATTTCCCGTGGTTTAATCACTCTCCCAACGATTTGAATATAATATTTTACTTGTAAAAAAAATGGACGCAAGTAAAGAGCTTGGGCCCAATATTTTAAAAGCAACGACCCGTCGCTGAAGCCCGAACGTTCAATAGGCATCAACTTGGATCATAGGAAAATGAAGCAGGTCTAGTCCTTGTTTTATATATATATAATATTTTGATAACATTTAAGATAAGGTCTAGGCCTCGTCTTAAATGTGCTTTAAACGTGGAGAGAGGATAATGATCTTTCTCCCGTTCACTTGTTCCCCAAAATGATAATCACCCTTCCTGCAACGCGGTCAAGACGTAAACAGCTCGATATTTTGTCCATTCCTTGGTTTCAAACATGGCAAATGGAGGCACGATTTTACGTTTGTGTCGAATTCTGCTTTGACTAATGGGAAACTGTTAACTAAAACGCAACAAAAACCAAGTGTCCTACCTTGACTCAAAAGTTGACGGCCACCAAGGATCAATTATTCGATGAGAAAATGTGGGCTCGTAGGCCGCTTAAAGCTTCATATAATCTAATCGGGGCATCAATTCCCAAGCTATCATACATATGAAAAATAATAAAGTTGTGTAGTTGCGTCTTATCATTTCGGTTCAAAGTTTGC